TCTCTAACATTTCCCTCCTGTTGTTAATATATTTCACAGGTTTAAATCAATGCATAGTCACTTGTTAAATCACATTTTCAACTTGCATGTCATTCAGTGAAGTATCTAAACATCAGCTCTGTGAAGACTATCATAGAGATTCTCCACTCTGTCCTCCATATTTAGCATATCATATTGGCGATAGGGATCCTCCATATCCCTCTGGATCAAGACAAAGTTTCCTAAAGTCTGGTTAAACATACTCATCACCATGCGTTTCAAACAAGGAATAATGCAAGCAATAAAAATGCAAAATAGAAACATCATAGTACATAGGGCCAACAGGCCTTTAATCAGCAAAGATTTCCAGGAGCCGCTGAGCAACCAGTCCCACCAGCCTTGTTCATTGGTCTCGTAGTCCTGTTGCTGAGCGTCTCTCAGTTGTTTCAGAACATTTAAAGGTTTTGTCATGTTTAATGAGTGTATGTTGTCAGGTATGTAGGTGCAATATGTCTTGTTGAACAGTACACAGAGACCTCCTTTCTCTGCAAGAACAATGTCCAAAGCTACTCGGTGTTGCATGACAGTGATGCGGATTGCAATTTCTGCACTAATGCTCAACCAATGATTACACACTTTTCCTGTTCTGTATCAAGTTTTCTTTGATGTGCATGAAAATAATTTGCTCTGCTTTTTGTAATGAGCCAATTAAATGGAACAACTTGTCATTATCATCTAATAAAGTTCATACAGACAGATCATTTGTTTGGAGGAATGTTTGTGCCTGCAAGTGATCGTATCAAAAACACGGCTGCAATTCGCCTTGAGATATTTATCAATGAATATGACTGGATGAAGTATTTACTAACACCAGCTTTTAACAAAAATACTGTAAAATTGTTCTAAATTTTAAACTCTATTTTTTCAAATATTGTATTGATTAATTTATCATAATTTCAATAAAACAAAGCTAATTTTATTTAAGATCAAAGATTTCCAACAGGATGTATCCCCTTAATGACGTCCATTTCCAAATAATAACTACAACATATCTCACTGCAGATGTTTGAGTGTAGCAGTAACAGAAAAATGACTGTGTGTTTGAGCTGGTTGTGTTTGTCAACAATGTGAACTTAAATTGTAAAAAATGACCTAAAGAGCTCTGTGGAGTTTTTGTTGATGTCTCTAATATATAATATAATATAATGTAATGTAATATGATGTAATCAATCCTCTTTTTTATTCTCTTGCCTGGCTTGCCTTAGACATAGTGTACCAGATATAAGGTAATAATGGAAGTAGCACAAATAGAAATGAATAAATAACCAGCTATAAGAGGAGGAACCGATAGAGATTCTATGTAGCTCTTCTTGTGTGGCAGCACCACTCATTCAGATCACAGTTCTGATTGCAAAAGCTGCCTGACAGGAAGGGATCTAGGATCTTCATACACACCACTTGCATGAAACATGAAAGCCAGTGGTTAGTGACCACCAGGTTCTGTGTTTCAAGTTTCAGGTGTTTAGTTTATTTTTACTTGTTTTTAGTTTCCTCCCTGCTTAGGTTTTGTTAGTTTAGTCATTGTATTCCTGCATCTGGGTCCACACTCCATACATCTGCCATAGATGACGTGACAATGAGCTGGATGACAAGATCCATGTAAAAAAAATAAAAAATAAAAATGGATTATCTCAAATTGATTATTTTTGTCTTTACATCACACTTTTTAAGCAAACGGGCCAGGGGGCATGAGTCTGAGTGTGGATAACCATGCTGAAAGGTCAAAGGATCACTTTACACAGAAAGAAAAAAACACCCTGAAGTTCAGTTCATTTATTTTAAGAACAAAGTGCAGGTTAATATTTACTGTAGGAAAACAGTCAGTATTTAACCTTGTTCTTCTTGTACTACGTTACATGACCATAAATGGGAATGTCAGAGGACTTACGGGAAGTCTGCTGAACACAGCCGGGAATATGAATGGGTTCAAATGAGGTCAATAGATTTGAAGATGAAATGACAAAATTAGACACAGTGGACTCAAGTCCTGCCTCTCCCTACAGATAAATACTGAGCACAGCACAGAAGACCATCAGAGACGTCTGTGTACATGGATCATGGATCATCATCATGATCTGCTGCTGTTGCTGCTGCTGCTGTGGAGCTCAGGTAGGACTGTACTTTAAAAATACCCAGTTAGTATTCACTGAGTTGACTGGACCATTAAAGAACCTGATCACACACACACACGACATGACATGACATGACATGACACAATACACATAACATGCTGGGTATCAGCTGGAGTATCCAGAGGGCCCTGCAGGCTCACAGAGAACGTGGCAGACAGCAGCTATGAGCACACTGACCTCTTGCTTTGTGGTCACCGTCTAAAGCACGTTGATTAAGAAGACTGAGTTGAATTGGTGATACCAGGCGGCAGAAAAGAGAACAGTGTGGTGACCTGATGAAAGTGGTGCAGAGCTGAAGGAGCCTTTGTCTCTGCTTGTTTGAACTGAGCAGCCAAAGGATAAAAGTCCCTACTTGTCACCTTGCTGATACGTATGTGGGTCTTCTGATTCTGCACTGAATGATTAAACATAAACTCGACTACGCCGATGCTGGGAATGATGATTTTCTCAGATTAATGGTTGATTCTAACGTGTACATGAAGCTTTGCTCTGAGAGAATAATGATTGACTACAGTGACTGACATTATGTGCTGCCTGGATTTGAAATACATCATGATGTTAACTGCTTCTGATACTACACATTGACCATGACTATAACTCTGTCGAGATAACTCTCGTGTGCTTTGTAGTTGATGATTGATTCTGTAGGGTTACCACAAATTTTGACTTTGTACTTTCTTCATGAAGACTGATCTCTGCTTCCAAAGACTTCACTAAAAACTGTGTAACTGTTAAGCAGTCTTATACACTCACATGTTGTACAAGGTAAAAATGTGTGACACTTTTAAGCATGTAACTTTTTTTGTTGAAGGATTTGGACACAACTTGCTGAATAATTGGTGCATAAAATTAACGTCAGATACAATTAAAAGTAAGAATATCAGTATTATATAACAACAGAAGGAGAAGTTGTCTCTGTCGGCCTCTGTGCTGAAGGCAGACATGCTGGACACGCTTCTTGCTTTCTTTGTTTTTGTTGAACCTGCACGTTTGTGGGTGTTCAATAAATGTGGCAAAGAACATTTTTTCTTTTGTTGATTTTCAAAAATCATTAATTGTGGTGTTTTCATTTGTACAGTGAGCTGTGTTTTCAGATCCTTAATTCAGATGCACACTGACAAAACATAAAGTTTACTGGCATGTTTGTTCTGTCCTCGACTGATCTCCACTCAGAATTGCTCTTTATGTTCATGAGTTTTCTCTCATGTCCTCCTCAGGAGCCCAGGCTGAAGAGAAGTCAACAGGTAAGAAGAAGAAAAAAGAGATTTAAAGAATTGCTGGAGCAGAATTTACCAAGTTTGATTTTAATATTTTCAGACATAAATTCCTTTTCTATTCAGAGTCTGATGATTTCAGGCTTGTGGGAGGAGCCAGTCGCTGTGCAGGAATACTGGAGCTGAAACATCAGGGAGAGTGGAGAGCAGTGAAGGGCGATTCATGGACCCGGAAGGAAGCAGCTGTTGTCTGTGAACATCTGGACTGTGGCTTTCCTGTTTCTGTTGGAAGAAGAGAGGATGCCTCGAGTAGACCAACGACGTGGTGGATCAGTCGGGACTGTCTTCTGTCTCGATCTCCTCTGGGGCAATGTGCAGTGTCTTGGGAACTGCCACCTACCAGCATCTTTGACATAACCTGTTCAGGTAAACCCATGTTTGCTATCATCTTTTCATAATATGTGACAACTAGTCTGTGTATTTATGGAGAAAATCAGGGACATTTCCATTGTCGCAGTAAGGCTGTCCCTCTGTAGTAGGAATCCTTTTGTTTTCTTTCTGAGATTATGAGGAGGAAAACAATATTTTTGACAAGTGTGTTGAAGTGTAAAGATGCAATATAGACTAAATGTGATGTTGAAAAAAAAACTTCATGCTGCATTTAAACTCACAACCTTCACCACACAAGGCTGAGGAGAGTGAGTGGTAACTCTGCCACTAATCCACAGCTGAGAGAGAGGCATTGCTCCCCATTCAAAATGATTGGGTTTCTACTATTAGAAAAAGTGGACTATTTCAGCAAAGATACAAAATTATGAAATATAGGCTTGTAACACATAATGGAGCTGGTTATTAGTATGAACAGTCTGTCTACAACAAACAGTGTCAGACTAGTTAGTCGGTGAAAAGAAGTAAAATGGCCAATGACAATAACCTATTCCATCCCAACAATGGACTCTTCTCACTGTTGAGGTCCGGGAAGCGCTTCCGCTCCCTTAAGGCCAAAACAGAGAGAATGAGGAGGAGCTTCTTCCCCCAGGCTATTCGGGCCCTGAACCAGGTGTAGGACTGGACTCTCACACACGTCACCACACGCACCACCACACATTTCCTATAATCCTATAATTCCTATAATTTATAATCCTTATCTTTATAATCTCTTCTGCTATTTGCACATTCTTTACTGTAAATTCCTAAGTTAATTTGTAAATTTTTGTAGTAAATTGTAAATATTGTAAAACTTTTCTTCTGTCATTTAATGGTCGGGCATTGTACAGCTACAAGCATTTCACCCCCATGTCATACTGTGTATGGTTGTGTGTGTGTGACAAATAAAATTTGAATTTGAATTTGAATTTGAGATTGCTGTTCTCCTATCTTCCACCATCTTGAAGTGATATTATGTGTTTATATCCATCATGAGATAAAATTAGGCTTTGGATCTAATGAATTTGAAAGACCAGTAAACACCATTAACCTTCTACAATGACATCATGAGTTCCCATAGCTGTGGTAAGGATTTCAGAGGTTTAGGAAGAGTGTATGTAGATCCCCTCTGTAAAAGATTTCTTAACTGCACAGTGACATCATTGCACCTGTTGAGTCCCAGATACCACAATGAACTTTATTCACACTTTCCAGACACGGCGATGAGAAGTTTAATAACTAGTTTAATGACATTGTAATCTACTATGGGATTGTACAGCACACGGATAGTGGATAGCAGATAGTGTCTCAACAAATCAGAGAATGTCTACCCCCCTCCCTTGACTCCCACCAGTTTGCTTATTGAGCATGGAGGATGCCATCACCATCATCCTTCACAGAGCACTGAACCATCTGAAGAACAAGAAGAGCTATGTGAGGATGGACTACAGCTAAATGTTCACCACCATAAACCCTGACATCCTCACCACCAAACTGGACCACCTTCAGGTCCCCCTGCCACCTGGTCCTTGATCAAAGCCATCTTAATCTCCCCTCAATTGTCACTCAGCACTGGATCCCCACAGGGCTGCATTCTCAGTCCCTTACTGTAAGCCGTAGGTGTCAAACTCTGGCCCGCGGGCCAGATTTGGTCCGCAGCCTAATTACATTTGGCCCGCAAAGCCAATACTAAATTATTATTAGAGCTGGCCTACTGGTATTATACAGCTAATATATATATTGTTTAGTATTAAACTTTGCTTGTTCCATATTCAGTTTTTCAGCAAAACTTGTTTGAGTCCATAAGAAGAGATTCATTCTTAAATCTGGAGGAAGATTTTTTTTTACAATAAATATTGATGTTAGCCCGCGACCTTGTTCCAGTTTTGAATTTTGGCCCACTGGGTATTTGAGTTTGACACCCCTGCTGTAAGCCCTGTACACCTATGACTGTACACCAACCCACCCACCCAACGTTATAGACCAGTATGCTGATGACACCACTGTGGTCGGGCTAATTTCTGATGGAGATGGGACAGTATACAGCGTGGAGGTAGAGAACTTGTCCCACTGGTGCTCAGAAAATAATCTGAACATCCTTAAAAACAAAAGAGCTCATAATGTGTCACAGACAGTGTCACGGCCGAGGCTGACAGACAGAAGGACTCAGAAGCAGGACTCACACGAGAAAGTGTGATGAACAAGATTTTATTTAGAAGACATGAAATTGCAAAATCAACTAGACAGTGAACTATGAACTAAGGTCTACAAGATCAGTGAGGCTAAAAACTAGTGAAACTATGACCAGGGAAAAACACAATGACACTGAATATGTGAGAAACTAAATCTTCATCAGGAATGCTTTAACTCAGGGGCATGGAGAAAAGGCATGGGCTTCAGGGAATGCACCCAGGAGTCTCAGTACATCTTTGAAGGCGGAGAAATGGCAGGGGGGAGGTAGGTGGTCCGGGTAAGGCTGCTGGGTTTCAGGAGCAAGGAATCTGTGAAGAGCAATAACTGTAGCAGGAGGGCAGGCAGCTGAGTAAAGCTGACGGGAGCAGAGATGAACAGAGCTGCCAAAGAACTCTACTCAGACTGAGCTCCTGATAGGGGATCAGTATGAGAACAGAAAACAAAAACTCCTCAGCACAAAAGCACATGAATCTTCACACCGTAACACCCTGAAAACACGTGACAAGCAACAGGGGTGGGTGAGCAGGGTTAGAGTAAGCCAATGCAGACAGCAGCATCACATGGCGGCAACTCTACGCGTTCCAGTGCAGAGATGCGTGTCGGACGAGGGGCAAGCATCCGAGGTGTATGTGTGTGTATCCTGTGTTCAACTTGAGAGAGAGTGTCCTTCACCCGGTTAAGCAAAAGTCAACAGTCTTCAGCCAATGCAGGTGTACTTGAAAGAGACTAAACATAGTCCCGTTATCAGGGACAAGAATTTGTTGTTCCGGAGCTGCATGAGTGAGGGAGATGATTGTTTGAGTGCACCAATTTTGCAGTTGTTCTTAATGTCCATCACTGGTCACCGGGTCTATCTATTTCCAATTGCAAAGCCGTGAGCTTCTCTACAATCTGTTTATCCCAGGTAGGAAGGGGTTCACGGGTTTCAAAATGTACAATGCCATCAATCTGGTCAATGAAACCATGTGTTTATTTAACGCCATATGGGAAGATTGTAGAGAAGCTGAGTACTCAGTTCAGTCTGAGTACTCACGGCTTACCCATTATTAAACCCGATTCTTTGATCCCCATGATAGAACAGAGAAAACCCGACTCAGAGTGGTCAAAACATTTATAATTCTTTATTCAATCATCTTCTGGAAGAGGGAAAGCCCTGCACAGCCCAAAGCCAGTGGCAGGATCTCTAACATTAGAAGCTAAAAATGTGTCTCATATAGGTGTTATTTTGGTCCTTTACACATAACATACAGCCTCGATACAAACAACTCCTTATATGTTACTAGTTCCTCTTTCTGTCTGGTTTCCTGTATTTATTAATATGTCTCAGACTGAACTTCCTGTTTTTCAGTCTGGCTAAGCACTTAGTTTGTGAGTCAAAACTGGCCTTGCTTTACAAGCCTTTATTGTTAAAATACATAAAACAATATAATCAGAAAACAAGCACTAAGAATACATATTTATTTTGTAACACCATCATCAATTATTTCAGCCAGCCTAGTGGGGGATTTGAACAGCTGTAACCGCTTTCTTTGTTCTTCAATTAGTCAGGTCCGAGCCAGCTTCGATCAGCCAGTAGTCTGTTATCATGGTTCTGAATGGCAGACGTCGTTCAGTGTCCTTCACTGAGAGTGTCGCCAGGCACATGACACATCCGACCATCGAGTATCCGGCAGCAAATGTCTCTGGAGGACAATCAGGGCTCTCCCGAGCCCAAGCTTCTCATCAAGAGTAGAGTGTCAACTTTGTTAAGGGACCAGTTGATCAAATCCATAATTTTTTTGGTTTTAGAAAACAAGACTGAGAGACTCTCTGAGGGTTAGAGTTAGACAAGACATAGAAGCCAAGCAGGGAAGATAAGGGAGGGAGAGGGTGAGAGATGTGTCCGCCTCCACCAAGAGCCAAAGTAGTAGTATAATGTAAACAGAATCGGTCCAAGCACTGAACCCTGTGGAACTCCATAATTAACCTTAGTGTGTGAAGAGGACTCTCCATTTACATGAACAAATTGGAGTCTATTAGATAGATATGATTCAAACCACTGCTGTGAAGTACCTGTAAAATAGGATAATAGGATATTATTAGGATAACACATGACAAAATAGTGAACTTAGAAAATATACACAAATTGTGAAATTGCACCTCTTTAAAATGCAGCTCAATTAAACCTAGCTCCAAGAATAATTTTCACCGACAGTTCTGAGATAAGCTGCATGTTATTCTTGGATGCGGTTGTAGGACCGGCTTTAAAATCGCATGACAAAAATATCATACACATTAAAAAAAACTGCATCACCAACGTAGCCTGGACAACATTTGCTAGTTAGATGAAGTCAGCTATCTCATCGTAGCATATTTATATGCATATTTATAATCATACGGTTCTTGGAGTGAGTGCATACACTCATGAAGTTTAGTAACTTCCGGTCACTGCAACAAGCCCAGGTACAGTTTACCGACGGATGGGTGCAGGACCTTGAAATGCACCGTGTAGAAAGTAAAGACCATCGTACGTATCATAAGTTTACCAGTCTCACAAATCGTCGTCATAAATACACATTCGTTAACCGTTTATTAATAGGACCTTTGAGCTCAACGGTAATTAATTAGCAGTGGAAATAATTTCTGGTAGCATCACAGAAATGTAGCAGTGACAATAATACTGTATGCTGTAATCGTACTGGACAATTAGTGATACAAAACAACTGTTTTATCCTGTGAATAAAAGTATATGTTTTTGTCAATGTACCATAATAACAGAAGCGAAACGCAATATTGTGTCGGGACAATTCACTATTTATGCACAATAAACAAAGGAGCATAGCGCGACAATTTCTGTTCAGCGCCAGACTTGCTTGTAACCTATATCACCAATTATGTTAAGAAAAATGACGTATTAACTACTACAGCAGACTGACCTTTGTGTAAATGCTTGGAGCAGACTAACCTGTGAGCTGGAGTGTTCTGGGACGTTATATTTGATCTTTGAATGGCTGCAATCCAGGCCATCCGTCGCGTCTTTGTTACTTCGGAAACATGGCTCGAACAATTTCTCTTTAACGACGTAATCCGATAACAACCGATCTCTTTACCCGTCGGCTTCCCGTGGCTGTCATGCGACCGGCTATTGCAGTTAATAATACAACAGCTTCTTGACATTTTTGTGTTTCTTTTTATCGCTGTGTGACTGATTTCAATTGAAAGCCTGCGTGAGCTACTACCTCTTGCTACGAGTTCCCAGAATCCTTTGCGGTTTTACCCCTGAATGACGTCACATTTTCAATCTCTATATAATATGCATGTAAAATTTTATATTTGGGGTGAAATATCAAGTCTTTTCAAGTAAACCGGTTCAAGTCCAATTCATGTCCCAGGTCATTGGTGTAAAAGTCCAAGTCAAGTCACAAGTCTTAGAACATTTTTTCAAGTCAAGTCTAAAGTCATAAAATTAATGACTCGAGTCCAAGTCATGTGACTCGAGTCCACACCTCTGGTCGACAGTATCGAACGCTGTACTGAGGTCTAGCAGGACAAGCACAGAGATGAGTCCACTGTCAGAGGCCATAAGAAGATCATTTGTAACCTTCACTAAAGCTGTTTCTGTGCGGTGATGAGCTCTGAAACCTGACTGAAACTCTTCAAATAAGCCATTCCTTTCAAGAGTTTTTAAGAAGGAAGGAAGGTTGGAGATTGGCCTATAATTACCTAAATCCACTGGGTCAAGAGATGGATTTTCAAGTAATCGTTTAACTACTGCCAGCTTAGAGACCTGTGGGCCATAGGACTTCTTTGAGCAGTCTTGTAGGAATGGGGTTTAAAAGACCTGAAGTTAACTCAGAAAGATCAATTGAAGAAAAAGACTCAGTGTCAGTGGCATCAGTGGTACTGGAAGTAGCTGTACATATCTGAGATGATTATGATTTTTTTTCTCTAATGTTTAAAATTGTATTTCCAAACTAATTCATGAAGACATTACTAGTTATCGTTTCCAACATCTCTGCTGATCTCACCTGGACCGCTGGTAAAGAAGAACATTTTCATAGGGCCTCTTTTTTTGTCTTTCTTGATGCTGTTGTCTACTTGACTAAACCCAGCCCGGTCCAAGTCTGTGCAGAACAAACCAAACAGTTTCCAGTTTCTTGTAGACAGGTAGTGTGTCAGACCCCCGATCCTGAATTTAAATCAGTGGATAGTTGTTTGCTGCCATCTTTTTCTTGTGTGTCTGCTGTCTCTGATCTCTCTGTTTGATCTTCTCTGATGTCTCCAGACTCTGTCAGGCTGCTGAATGGTTCCAGTCTGTGTTCAGGCAGACTGGAGGTGAAGTCTGACCAGAGCTGGTCCTCAGTGTGTGAAGCTGACTTTGACCAGCAGGATGCAGAGGTGGTCTGTAGGGAGCTTTGCTGTGGGCCTCCTTCGGTCCTCCAGGGGGCGCTGTATGGAGAAGTGGAGGCTCCAGTGTGGAGCAAAGAGTTCCAGTGTGGAGGCCATGAGTCTGCTCTCCTGGACTGTAGAAGCTCAGGCTCAGCTAGAAACAGCTGCTCACCTGGCAAAGCTGTTGGACTCACCTGCTCAGGTAGAAGAGGAGCTGCAGCTTTGATGTGGTTCAAACTCACTTTACTCTTTCACTGATGACACTCTGATTTTTTTTCCAGACGGTGAGGATGTCAGGTTGGTGGGAGGAGCCACCCACTGTACAGGAACACTGGAGCTGAAATATCTGGGAGAATGGAGAACAGTGGAAGCCATTGAGTGGACCCGGAAAACAGCTACTGTTGTGTGTGAACAGCTGGACTGTGGTTATGTTGTTTCTTTAGGAAAAAGGACGGGTGCATCAAGCAGATCTGTGTGGAGCATCAGTGATACGTGTATTCAGCTTGGATCTACTCTGCAATACTGTGCATCAGCTTCGTTTTCTACGTCCATTTTTGATGTAACCTGCTCAGGTAAAATTATTTGTGACAGTATACACGATATAATATGTGATAGCTGGAAGAGAAGCAAACTATCCACCAATCGTGACTGGCTCTGTTCCACAGCATATCTTTGTTTTCTCTTCCTCCCCTCATCCCCAACAGATGGACTCCTGGCCTGTTGTAGTGATAGATGTAGATCTAGATGCAACTGAATTGAACTGAATCATGGCAGAAGAGATGTTCAGTGTTCTCGGGAGTCAAACTAAAGAGTCCCTTCTTCAGTGCTATAACTTTCTGGGCTTCCTATTTCTTAGCTTGAGTTTCAGTTCAGTCTCTCCTCACTCATGTATTGCTACACCCTGGGACTCATTCTTAACAGTTTGCACAAAGAAATCTGGGAAACTTTTGAAACAGTTTTCGAATTTTCAATTTTCCTTTTCTAAACAGATATAATATTCAAAAACATAAAAAAAATAATTGAGCCTTAATTAAGAAACAATTGAAAGTTTGAAATATATACAAAGCAAGTTGGCAATGCTACAGTCTGTACTTCTCCTAGTTCACAAGATACTGGAGGGTCTTACCCTGATAGTCTCCTGACTGAATGTACAGAGCACAGGACACCACTGTAGACTTGCTTAAGCTGGGATACATAGGATACATTCATTGAGTATCTTCAATGTTTTGGGGAGTATGAGATCACAGGCAGAATTAACTCAAGATTCTCAATTTCAAAAGGTCCAGTGATCCTGAGACAGAGCTTCTTTGAGTTATATTGTAATGGAATGTCCTAGAACATAACCACATTTTCTGATCTAAGGTCTGAAGTTTGAAGCTGAAATCTGGTGTTAGTCTCCCAAACATTTAGTTTTCTCTACGGCCCTGAGGAGTACTGTCTCGGGGCATCTCTGGATTTCTTGACGTAGGTCGTTGTGTTGCATGGAGTGAACCGCTGTCTCACTGTCCAGCTTTGGGAACATAGAGTTCAGTAGCACAGAGAGGACTCAAATAGACATAACCCAATGGGAGATGAGGTCATGGTGTTGTGTACTTACTTGTCTGCTTCAAATGGTAGGTTTGATAGCGCAACACAGTAGAGGGCAGCTTATGTAGAACAAAATCTCTTCACACTTGTGAGGTGAAAAGAGTCCCTCAATCAGAGATTTGTTTCAAAATCACATCATTTAATTTGAAAATACTGAACCATCACTCTACATTAGTTGTTTGAGTGGAAAATATATGTATAGAAGTTCCTAATTCATAACAGAGGACAGAAAAAGACATTTCATACACACCAATGATCATAGATATTTACAAAAATGTTTACATGCATCATTGTCATACACTAACACTTAAAGACTATTTTTTTTTTACCATTTCACTCACCAATTTTCACTATTTGTAGTGAGTTTCTCTTGTTAAGCTGAATCTGTGGTACTTGGTAATGGTCTTTTACCCACTTCTTCCTTTTTCTTCAGGTTTATGTTAAAAACATTTTGTTCTACTGAGCTAATTTATTTACTTTTTAACCTCGTCTATAGTATCAGAGGAAGCAACATACACGAACTTGTTTAGTGAAGCCAGAGCCCAGTTTTAGTTTACAAACTGTCAACCTTCCAAAGTGGCTTCACCCTCAGATGCTTTTCTTTACATTTCATCAGGTGGAAATTATTACGCTTTTTTATGTAGCAGTGCATATTTGTCTCTCAGAACAACAAATTGAGGTAAACATGTTTTGTGTTTTAGATTAGTGGCGTCACTATAGTTTGCAGATTGCAGGTAGTGAGTGTTGATTTACAGTGATTCTAGTTGACTGATTTAGAGAATGTGTACATAAGAACATAACAGACTAGTGCCAGGAACAACTGGCATTGGTTTCGTTAATCTAGGGTCTTATAACCCTCATTTCTCTGCTGCTGCTCAACCAGCCAATCCTGATATAACAGGAGCAATCGTGGCTCAAGAGTTGGCAGTTCGTCTTGTAATCAGAAGGTTGCCGGTTTGAGCCCCGGCTCGGACAGTTTCGGTCGTTGTGTCCTTGTGCAAGACACTTCACCCGGTGCCTACTGGTGGGGGTTAGAGGGGCCGGTGGCGCCAGTGTCAGTGCACCCCAGGGTGGCTGTGGCTACAATGTAGCTTGCCATCACCAGTGTGTGTGAAAGGGTGGGTGACTGAATGTAGTGTAAAGTGCTTTGGGGTCCTTAGGGACTAAGTAAAGCGCTATACAAATACAGGCCATTTACCATTTTAACGGTATTATACTATACAATAAATAGACAAACAGTTTCATCTTTGAACCAGTGAATAGTTGTTTGCTGCCATCTTTTTCTTGTGTGTCTGCTGTCTCTGATCTCTCTGTTTGATCTTCTCTGATGTCTCCAGACTCTGTCAGGCTGCTGAATGGTTCCAGTCTGTGTTCAGGCAGACTGGAGGTGAAGTCTGACCAGAGCTGGTCCTCAGTGTGTGAAGCTGACTTTGACCAGCAGGATGCAGAGGTGGTCTGTAGGGAGCTCGGCTGTGGGCCTCCTTCGGTCCTCCAGGGGGCGCTGTATGGAGAAGTGGAGGCTCCAGTGTGGAGCAAAGAGTTCCAGTGTGGAGGCCATGAGTCTGCTCTCCTGGACTGTAGAAGCTCAGGCTCACCTAGAAACAGCTGCTCACCTGGCAAAGCTGTTGGACTCACCTGCTCAGGTAGAAGAGGAGCTGCAGCTTTGATGTGGTTCAAACTCACTTTTTTCTTTTACTGATGACTCTCTGCTTTCTGTTCAGATAATGATGTTTTCAGGTTGGTGGGAGGATCCAATCAGTGTGCTGGTACACTGGAGCTGAAACATCTGGGAGAATGGAGACCAGTGGAAATCTATGATAGGATGCCACAGACAGCCGCAGTTGTCTGTGCACATCTGGATTGTGGCTCTATTATTTCCATAGAACAAAACCACAAGTCTTCACATAGATTAACGTGGGGAATCTCAGCTGACTGTGTTCAGGATGGATCTTCTCTGAGGCAGTGTGCAAAATCAGATGACTCATCTGTCATAGCAAAACTTCAGTGTTCAGGTAAGTTGATCACCAGCAGAGGTGGCAAAAGGTAATTATTTGGTGGACATTTCTAGTAATAATAAGCTAACATTAGCAGATGTAAATACATACTTTATTTCAGTGTACATTTTATCTATAAGTAATGAACTCAACTTGAGTCATTTAAGCAGAACATGTGCAGAGAACAAGATGAAAATATAAAAAAAATAGCTCTATGTTCTGTTGACTACGTAGAGTGTGGCTTTGTCTCTAAACAGGGAAATGAGTTTGGAAACAGTTACAAACTGATTCAGCAGGTGGGGGAATCCTAAAATCAGTTGTAGTTGGCTCAGTGTGGGAAAAAGAATCACAGCTCACAATAACTTTTATTGAGAGCTCCAGTAGGTTTTCTTAATATACAGGCTGTGATCAGCTGATCTGAGATACTGTTGCTCTATGGTATACTGCTATATTCAACCAGATGTCAGCAGATGTTTCATGAGTTGTCCTTGCTGATTTTGATCTTCTACACTGACAGTACACTGTTTATGCTGTCTTTATATTAGACTTTATAAAGTGGTATAAAGGTGGAATTCAGTGAATGAATCTCAGCATCATCAGTTTAACTTCAAATTCATCTCTGCTACACTTGATGTAACCTACCACTGACCATGAAACCACAGCCACTGTGCACCAGTCACACACTGTTTTCTTTAAATCCATCACAGTGCAGCAAAATAACCTGTTTATCCTGCACTAACCTGCAGTGGATTTTCATGCAGCCTTTAAATAGCATAGTTAGTTTGTCTCAGTTTGATTTGCATATTTGACAATATATAAAAAAAATAATGTCACATGTACAGACCCCATATCTCATTTAAAAACATGAGGACTTCATGTAAGCTTTAAATGAGTAGTCATTCCCTTTAAATCTAACCTCTCTTTTTCCTCTCCTGTCCTGTCTTTCTTATCTCTCTCCATCTCTGAGTGAAGTTAGTTCTCTTTCTGTTCTCTCCCTGTGAAATACAGCAGCTGGACCTTTAGCTAGCAACACATTGTGAGAAAAACTGCACACAAACAGTTTGTGTGTTTGCTAATGTTTGTTGAGCTGATAGAAACACTGAATTTGAAATTACCTGACACACAAAAAATGTCACTCTTTTTAAGCTTTATTTTGTGGTCCCTGCCACACAGCAAATCAAGACACTATCTCCTGTCTTTGTGATCTCTGTTTAGTTCAGTCATGTTAGTATATCTTAGTCCTGGTCCTGGTGTTAGTCATTTACTGTTTCATGTATGTTGTGTTGTTTTATTTCCCCTTCCTCTATTAGATTCAGCTCAGCTGTCTTCCAGTTTGCTCTCATCACCTTGTATATGTATTCTGTCATTTTTTTTTTGGTTCTTTCTGATGTCCTAAATGATTCCTCATATTGCGTGTTCGTCCATCTGTGCGCTTTCCTCTAGTCCTACTTTTTCTGTCAGTTTGATCCTGCCTTGCCGTGGTATTAGGTATTATTTTTGCCATTTTGTCAGTTGCCAGCTAAGACTGTGTTTTAGTTTATTTCCTGTTTTGGGTGTCCTGCTTTGGGGTTCAGATTCTGCTTGCGACACAATGGTTCCATGACATTAATCTTCGAGCACACCCAGTGAAGCATTACTTTCATGAAAGCTGGTATGGTTGGAGAATATTGTGGTCAGTTGAGAATTTTGCAAAGAAGGCTGACTCTCTGAGTATGAATCATTTTGCTCAGTATTTAATGGGTCACTATGCTTTGCAGATTGCAGGTAGTGAGTGTTGATTTACAGTGATTCTAGTCCACTGTTATAGAGAATGTGTACATAAGACCACATGGGCTGATACTCTGTTTCACTAATCTCTGGGTCTCTAATAACCCACTTTTCTCTGCTGTTGTTTCTACCAGCTCATCCTGATATAACAGCATAATACTGTCCCACCAATAAATGGACAAACAGTCTCATCTTTGAATCAGTGAATAGTTGTTTGCTGCCATCTTTTTCTTGTGTGTCTGCTGTCTCTGATCTCTCTGTTTGATCTTCTCTGATGTCTCCAGACTCTGTCAGGCTGCTGAATGGTTCCAGTCTGTGTTCAGGCAGACTGGAGGTGAAGTCTGACCAGAGCTGGTCCTCAGTGTGTGAAGCTGACTTTGACCAGCAGGATGCAGAGGTGGTCTGTAGGGAGCTCGGCTGTGGGCCTCCTTCGGTCCTCCAGGGGGCGCTGTATGGAGAAGTGGAGGCTCCAGTGTGGAGCAAAGCGTACCAGTGTGGAGGCCATGAGTCTGCTCTCCTGGACTGTAGAAGCTCAAGCTCAGCTAGAAACAGCTGCTCACCTGGCAAAGCTGTTGGACTCACCTGCTCAGGTAGAAGAGGAGCTGCAGCTTCGATGTGGTTCAAAGTCATTCTCAATGTGACCACTTTCTGATACCTGTTTAGATGTTGATCATGTCAGGTTGGTGAGAGGAACCAGTCATTGTGCAGGCACACTGGAACTGAAACATCTGGGAGAATGGAGACCAGTGAAAGCCATTGACTGGACACTGAAGACAGCAGCAGTCCTCTGTGGATATCTGGATTGTGGCTCTGCTGTTTCCATAGAACAAAACTTGAGCTCTTCAGTTCGATCTGCTTGGGAAATTACTGCTGACTGTTTTCAAAATGGATCTTCTCTGAGGCAGTGTGCAACATCAGATGACTCAATGTATTTTGTAAAGCTTAACTGTTTAGGTAAGTCCATCATTAGTGACAACATATATGCCATCATCAGAGCTTTACTCCGAACTCTACTTAAAAAAAAGAAAAAGACAAGTGCAGTTAAAATATGCAAATAGATATTTCCTAATAACATCTAAATTTAGAATAATGTATTATACAGCAGTGGGGAATATATTTGATTACAGTAGCTGGCTTTTTGAAAGTGCTGTAACTAAGATTAGGTGTTTAATTCCTCCACTGTTATCTTCTTTTAATATCATAAGCTAACACAGTACAGAGCAGCTACCTAAACTCCACTGCCAAAGAGGTCGATTATCTTGGTAATTGTGTTACATCCTCATTGTGTATGACTCCTGATATTGTGGTTTCTCTGTAAAAGAAAGCCTCATATCAGATGTGCTTGACTTCTTGGTTTAACTCTCAAATATGCCCTTTAAAGGAGTGAACTCATAAGCTGGATAGAGTTTTACTGTAAGGCCCGTACCTTACAATAAAAGTGTTTTGATGTAACCTTTGCTATGATTTGGTGCTATAGAAATACGACTGAAATTAATTAAATTGAAATTCAGTTTCATGAATTTAGAAGATATTCATTTTTAAAAAGCCCCCCATAAAGCTAGAGCATCTTATTATCTTACACTGATTGAAGAAAATAAGAGCAACCTTGAGTTTCATTTCAGCACTGTAACCAAGTTGACATAGACTCAGGGCTGTGTTGAGCCAACCATTCATTTGACCTTACCTAGTAATGATTTGAATTTGTTGACAAATAAAATTTTAACCATTAGATAATTTTTTTTATAACCACCACTGAGATGTGTTATTATATACAACGACTTTAAAAAAATACTGATATCCATTTACTCTTTCACTCAAGTGGATCTTTCTGACTTAACTTCAGTAATTACTTTCTCTAATCAATAGTGTGTCTTTTAGACCACATTCCTACAAGGCTGCTCAAAGAAGTCCAAACAATAGATAATATTTCGATCTTAAATGTGATCAACCTATTTTTTTATTAATAGGCTACATACTGTACAACAGGCTTTTAGGGTTGCAGTAATGATCTTCTTGACCTTAGTGCAGCATTCACTAATGATGACCATAATATTTTATTACAGTGATTAGAGCACAAGCTTCAAACCTCTCTGTTGCAGTATTTGAATCATATCTAACTGATAGACTTCAATTTGTTCATGTAAATGGAGAGTCGTTTTCAAACACTAGGGTTAATTATAGAGTTCCACAGGGCTCAGTGCTAATACCAATTCTGTTTACTTTATAGATGCTTCCCTTAGGCAGTAGATGACACTAAACTTTATCTATCTATGAGGCCAGATAACACACACCAATGACCTCTAACTTACTGCTTCTAGATTCAGATAAAAATGAGGTTATTGTATTCGGCCCTGAAAATTCTTAGAAATATGGTATCTAACCAGTGACTTGCTCTTGATGGCATTACCTTGGTCTCCAGTAAACTGTGAGGAACCTTGGAGTCATTTTTACCAGTATATGTCCTTCAGTGCACATATTAAACACATATGTAGGACTGCTTTCTGTCATTGGCACAATATCAGAAAAATCCTGAACAGTCTTTTCAGCAGTGCTCCTATGAGCACTGCTGAAAAGACTAATTCATACATTTGCATTGATGTAGCTGTTGTTCTTTATTAATACATTTGAATGGAATTGAGTTATTACTTTTAGACTGGACTACTGTAATTCATCTTTATCAAGATGTCCTATAAAAATCCCGAAAAGCCTTCAGTTGATCCAAAATGCTGATGCAAGAGTGCTGACAGGGACACACACACACAGAGCACATTTCTCCTATATTGATTTCCCTGCATTGGCTCCTTGTTAAATCCAGAATCTAATTTAAAATCCTGCTCCTCACATAAAAGGTCTTTTTAACCTTACTATTACCATTTTCTTAGTATTATTATTTAATCTTTACTTTACAACATAAAGCATCTTGAGATCACAGTTGTTTGCCTCTAAATACATTTATTTGAATCTAATCATTTTCTTTTTCTGCTGTCTCTGATCTCTCTGTTTGATCTTCTCTGATGTCTCCAGACTCTGTCAGGCTGCTGAATGGTTCCAGTCTGTGTTCAGGCAGACTGGAGGTGAAGTCTAGGAGGTGAAGTCTAACCAGAGCTGGTCCTCAGTGTGTGAAGCTGACTTTGACCAGCAGGATGCAGAGGTGGTCTGTAGGGAGCTCGGCTGTGGGCCTCCTTCGGTCCTCCAGGGGGCGCTGTATGGAGAAGTGGAGGCTCCAGTGTGGAGCAAAGAGTTCCAGTGTGGAGGCCATGAGTCTGCTCTCCTGGACTGTAGAAGCTCAGGCGATGTGGTTCAAAGTCATTCTCAATGTGACCACTTTCTGATACCTGTTTAGATGTTGATCATGTCAGGTTGGTGAGAGGAACCAGTCATTGTGCAGGCACACTGGAACTGAAACATCTGGGAGAATGGAGACCAGTGAAAGCCATTGACTGGACCCTGAATGAAGCAGCTGTTTTCTGTGAACGTTTGAACTGTGGTTCTGTGCTTTCGAAGCAAGAGAGAAATCAAACCAATTCCAGAGGCACCTGGTGGCTCAGAAATGATTGTATTGAGTCTAGTCCTGATTTAAGGGTGTGCGTAACATCAGCAATCACTGAACTCATCCTGCATCTTACCTGCTCAGGTAAGCACATTAGTGACAGCCTTTTGTGGTCTGGACAGGCCACAAAAACCTGTCCTACAATGCACATATTAAACAAATATGTAAGACTGCGTTCTTCCATTTGCGCAACATCTCTAAAATTAGAAATATCCTGTCTCAGAGTGACGCTGAAAAACTAGTTCATGCATTTATTACTTCCAGGCTGGACTACTGTAATTCATTATTATCAGGATGTCCAAAAAACTCACTGAAAAGCCTTCAGCTAATCCAAAACGCTGCAGCAAGAGTACTGACAGGGACTAGAAAGAGAGAGCATATTTCTCCTGTTTTGGCTTCCCTTCATTGGCTTCCTGTTAAATCCAGAATTGAATTCAAAATCCTGCTCCTCACATACAAGGTCTTAAATAATCAGGCCCCATCTTATCTCAATGACCTTGTAAGTACCATATCACCCTATTAGAGCACTTCGCTCTCGCTCTGCAGGTCTACTAGAGTATTTAAAAGTAGAATGGGAGGGAGAGCCTTCAGTTTTCAGGCCCCTCTTCTGTGGAACCAGCTTCCAGTTTGGATTCGGGAGACAGACACTATCTCTACTTTTAAGATTAGGCTTAAAACTTTCCTTTTTGCTAAAGCATATAGTTAGGGCTGGACCAGGTGACCCTGAATCCTCCCTTAGGTATGCTGCAATAGACATAGGCTGCCGGGGATTCCCATGATGCATTGAGTTTTTCCTTTCCAGTCACCTTTCTCACTCACTATGTATTAACAGACCTCTCTGCATTAAATCATATCTGTTATTAACCTCTGTCTCTCTTCCACAGCATGTCTTTTATCCTGTCTTCCTTCTCTCACCCCAACCGGTCGCAGCAGATGGCCGCCCCTCCCTGAGCCTGGTTCTGCCGGAGGTTTCTTCCTGTTAAAAGGGAGTTTTTCCTTCCCACTGTTGCCAAAGTGCTTGCTCATAGGGGGTCATATGATTGTTGGGTTTTTTTCTCTGTATCTATGAAGCGCCTTGAGGCGACTTATGTTGTGATTTGGCGCTATATAAATAAAATTGAATTGAATTGAATTGAATTGAAAATTGAATTGAATTGAGAATCCTAGAAGGTTGAAGTGCAGGCAGGCTAAGTGTGCTCTGTCTTTTAAGTGGTTTAAATTTACCTTTACATATCGCCCAAGGTTTAGAAATCAGAGACCAGATAGTGCTTCCTTTGGTCAGTGCTGCTTTCCCGAGGTGTTGGGTACTCGATGATTCTGGGGTGCATGGCCAGATGTTTTGACATGATTGCTCCCTTGGGGTTGTGGTCTGGCTTAGCTTGGGCCTCCTCAATGTGGGTTGCAGAAGGTTCTGGCAGTTCCTGGGTTTCTGTGACTTTGTCCTCAGCACGTGCTGGGATGGATGGCTCCTGAAGAGACTGGTTAACTGGGGTTCTGTCTAGGGCCTCCCTCTTCGTTCCATCAGTTTTTGTTGGTTCTTTGTCATGTCCTCCCTAATCTCTCATATTGCATGCTTGTCGATCTGTGTGCTTTCTTCTAGTCATATTTTTTTCTGTCAGTTTCCTCCTGCCTTGCCCTGGTATTATTTTTGCTATTCTGTCAGTTGCCAGCTGAGACTGTATTTAGAGTTTTTTTTTGTTTTTATTTCTTGCTTTGGGGCTTTGGGGTTCAGATTCTATGACATCTATCTTCAGACACATCCAGTGAAGCATTACCTTCATAAAAGCAGGGATAGTCTCAGAATATTGTGGTCAGGTGAGAATTTTTCTTTTGGATGTTTTTATAAACTACAGTCAGCCTATGTTTTAAAAACCACTGATCCTTTATTTCACAGATGGTTTCATTAGTCTTTTTACACAGCTAAACAAAAATGTTAAATATTCAGTGAACAATCTCAAAATCCAAAGTGACCATCAAAACCAATCTGAAATAAACATGAAGGACTTATGATGTACTGAGTATCTCTCTCTGTTTGATCTTCTCTGATGTCTCCAGACTCTGTCAGGCTGCTGAATGGTTCCAGTCTGTGTTCAGGCAGACTGGAGGTGAAGTCTAACCAGAGCTGGTCCTCAGTGTGTGAAGCTGACTTTGACCAGCAGGATGCAGAGGTGGTCTGTAGGGAGCTCGGCTGTGGGCCTCCTTCGGTCCTCCAGGGGGCGCTGTATGGAGAAGTGGAGGCTCCAGTGTGGAGCAAAGAGTTCCAGTGTGGAGGCCATGAGTCTGCTCTCCTGGACTGTAGAAGCTCAGGCTCAGCTAGAAACAGCTGCTCACCTGGCAAAGCTGTTGGACTCACCTGCTCAGGTAGAAGAGGAGCTGCAGCTTTGATGTGGTTCAAACTCACTTTATTCTGTTACTGATGACTCTTTGCTTTCTGTTCAGAGCCTGATGATATCAGGTTGGAGGGAGGAGCCAGTCGCTGTGATGGAAGACTGGAGATAAAACATCTGGGAGAGTGGAGACCTGTGGACGGCTCTGACTGGATCCTGAATGAAGCAGCTGTTTTCTGCAAACACTTAAACTGCAGCTCTGTGGTTTCTGTAGAAGTGAGAGATAACTCCTTTTACAACCAGACGTGGTTTCTCAATCAAGGCTGTGTTCGGTCTCGATCTGATTTAAGGGCGTGTGCAGCATCAGGATTCACTTACAGCATCCTGCATCTTACCTGCTCAGGTAAGCACATTAGTGACATCTATGAGGTGATCAGAAGTTTGCTGAGTGGTAAACAGCTTATGAAACACACTTCAGTAAATGTGCTTTTACAGATGTGTTTCTACCGAGACATTGGCAGCTTTCCCACTCTGCTGCATCTTTCATGATTTCTCTGTAAAGTGTCACTACAGAGTCCGTTTGTTGGAAAAGAAAAGGTCTTTTGGTAAAAAAAGCAAGTCCTTACCTGGACCGTTTTGTTCAGGATGACAGCATGTCAGTGCATTCTATTTTTTTGCTCTCTGCACTGTTTACTGTCAGTCTGTATAATGGCAGGATAATTGGAGTGGTCCTTTCAACACGATAACAGCTTCAGGCAGTGATGGCCAGATGAAACCTTGTGAGAATTTAATGTTTTTCATCCAACTGGTTCAGAAAAAGGTTATTTTCTCGATGCTTCATATGCACACCACACCCCCTGCTGGTCAACACCTTAATTGTCATTGGCCTGCATGATGCAAACAGAGTTCTATTAATGTCAAAAACCTTGTCAGTGTATCAGTCAATGTTTGAATAATGATGGTGTTGGTTTTTTAAGAAATAATATTTTTCCACTGTGCTTGGACTCATTTTCTCTTTTTGGTAATAACTTCTCTGGCTTTGGAGAAATCGTGAAGGTGAACACTGACACGTACATTTTCAGGGGTCCATTGCGCTTTATTTTATTGTTCATAGATCACAACCGCACTTGAACCAATTTGAACCAACGAGTCTTCAAACCTCATAACTGATGTCAGTCACATGTAAAGAAGCAAGCCTCAATGGGTGCTTCATTAAGCATTTCCTGGATTTCTCAGCACATGCTCTGAAGCTTCATCCCATCACAAGTTTTATGATAACCTTTGAACATTTTTAATGTGTTTTTGTACATAAATGGACACTTTTATATATCACAGTATGAAATACTACATTTTGTATATATATAAACCGTTATGTGTGTTTCTTGCTCCATACTAAAAAAGTTAGTGTGACTTAAATGTCTGTTATGGGTGTTAAAGTGGCTGTTTACGGCATATTACTGTCTGATAAAGTGCAGCAGAGCTGAAAATGTTTTTTCAGACTGTATGAGCTGTTTAGCCTTTTTTCCATGGTATCATTTGTTTATGGTCAATTGCAATATATTTAGTTAAAAGGCAATTAACTAAGGAGGATGGGACACAAGCACAGAATCCAGAGGATCAAGTGCAGTATTATCAAGAGAAGGAGAATGGATTCACATAAATAAAGAAATAATTTAAAGTAATTATGCTTCAAATTGAAGTCAAGTTTTTTAAAATGGGTTTTAACAGATAAATAAGGAAAGCCTGCATTTTTACTGTACAACCAAATGAATATATAGAATATATAGCATGAGCTGCCTTGATGGAGTGCTTCCTGTTAGTGTGTTTGATCACATGACACAGGTCTTTCTGTCCTGTTACTCACACTGTTGTGTATTTATACTTGAGGGCACTGAACACATGAGTGATGGTTGAGTGATGCAGTGGGTCTGATTGTCAGTCTGACAGTGTGCTGTCATGTCTCTGCAGCCAAGCAGCACACAGGAGGACCCTGAGCTGACTGTGACCTCCATGTTTGTGCTGCTGAAGATGACGAAACTCGGGAAGCAAAGGAAAACCTCTAAAGAGCTCATCTCATGTCTCAATGAATTTCTTAGCTGACAAAAACCCCATAATCTTTATGTCTGATGTAATTAGCATTTTTGGACATTAATTATTCACATGATTCTACAGTTTGCCTGTTATGTAATAAGATGCTTTTGCTGTCTAAGAAAATAAACTCTGTTGTTGCAGTGAAAAATGTATTTTAATAAGCAAAATAAAAACATAAACAAACAGTATTTCCCTTCCCTTCAAGTGAAATTTTGCAGCAAATTTGAACAAAACTACTTTAGTTTGATTTGTTTATTTTAAAGAAAACAAAGTGCAGGTTGATATTTGCTGTTGGAAAACAAACAGTATGTAACTTTCTACCTGTGCAAGGTTATAGGACCATAAATGTAGGGGTCAGTGGGACTGTGAGAGGACTTACGAGAAGCCTGTTGATCAGGAACCAGGAAAGGCAAACAAAGTAAAAATGACAGAATCAGACTGTGGAGTCAAACCTCGCCTCGTCCTTGCCTCGTCTCTCCTGAGCTGAGCATCATGGATCCCCGTCTGCTGCTGCTGCTGTGGAGCTCAGGTAGGATTACAAATCAACTGTCAGCATTCTGTGATTTGATCATCAAACAACCTGCACACACAGCAAGCTCATCATAACACACAGATATGAAAGGATCAGAGGATGAACTGCTCTCTCCAAGTAGAATCCGTCTTTATATTCATGTTTTTTTTCTTATGTCCTTCTCAGGAGTCCAAGCTTGCAATGAGCTCATATCAAAAGGTAAACTAAAAAATAAAGAATCACACAAACATAATTCGCTGTGCAGGAACACTGGAGCTAAAACATCTGGGAGAGTGGAGGCCAGCGGTGTTGTTTGTGTGGACTCCGAAGGCAGTCACTGTAATTTGTGAACATCTGGCCTGTGGCTCTGCTGTTTCTGTAGGAAGGAGAGAGAAGGCTCCACACAGGTCAATGTGGTGGATCAATGGTGCCTGTGTGGAGAAAGCATCTGCTCTGTGGAGTGTCTGTATGTTTCCTGAACCCTTTCCCTTTGCCTCAGAGTTAACCTGCTCAGGTAAACCCATTTGTAGCATCAATGATGATGTAATATAACAAAATAATATGTGACAACAACATGACAGGCTGATGCATTCACCACCTAGAAGAGCAGCAGTCATGAAAGAGTTTCAGGGGTCTCTGAAACCAAAGGGCTGCTGAGCTCCACAGCTCATTAATAACTTACATATTATTGTATAGAAAACACGTACCCCAAAGGCAGCTGTTTTTGTAATTTGCTGCAATACAAGCTCTTGGACCCAAGTGTGTACCGGGCCGTGGGTGGGTTCCTCCACTCTGCCTAACAGGAAGTCAACTGGGAGCTGGGGCTCTTGGCCAAACATAAGAAAGTAGGGTGACTCACCCGTAGTTTGATGGATTGTGGTATTGTAAGAAAAGGTGAGCTGCTGTAAATACATGGGCCAATGACGCTTTTGCTCAGGGGGCAGGGTTCTCAACAGATCATGCAGAGTCCGATTAAAACGCTCACACTGGCCATTACCTTGTGGGTGGTAAGGAGTGGTGCGAGTCTTTTCCACACCATATAACTGGCATAGCTGCTGAACTAATGCTCTTTCAAAACTCCTCCCCTGATCGGAGTGGATCCTAGAGGGAACACCAAAGCGATAAAACCACTCATAAACCAAAACACTGGCCACAGTAGTTGCCTTTTGATCCTTAGTAGAAATGGCCTGAGTGAACTTTGAAAACACATCAGTAAGAATCAATACATTTTCACGGCCATCAACGGAGGGTTCAAGGCATGTGAAATCAATTGCCAGAATCTGATTGGGCCTCGCAGCCATGAGGTGACCCATGGTTGTTTTAGGTTTGGGATAAACTGCTTTAGCCTGCGCACAACGTTCACATTGCTGACAGTAATCCTGAACCTCCTTAGACATACCTGGCCAATAACACCTCTTGCGTATCAAGTCTGCAGTCCTGTCAGTTCCCTGATGACCATGGTCATTATGCAAGCCATGTAAAACCTCATTCTTGAGACTCTGAGGGACCACTAATTGGCACACTGGTTCCCCCCCCATCTGGCTGAAAGATCTGCCGATCAAGGACGCCCTCCTTTTCTACCAGTTTCCTCCACTGGCGCAACATTTCCAGCACTGCTGCTGGCAAATCTCTTCTCTCCTGGCGAGTAGGGCCAGTTCCTCTGCGCCAAAACTTCAAAAAACCACTAATCGTGGGGTCCTCCCTCTGCAAAGTAGCAAGGTCTGCAAGTGAATGAGAGGGTAAAACCGAAATCATAGATTGGATTACTTGCTGTGGTGGTAAAACTGTTTGGACTAAAGAGTCTGGAAGGGAAGTACCAGGAAGCAGTGTTTCTAAAGACACAGTTTGATCGGATGGCTGACACTGTCGGGACAAAGCATCTGCATTGCCATTTGTACGACCCGGACGATACTTAATTGAAAAATCAAAAGAAGAGAGCTGAGCCGCCCAGCGCTGTTCCAAAGCTCCAAGCTTTGCTGTAGTCAGATGGCTCAAGGGGTTGTTGTCTGTATAGACAACACACCTGTTACCCAGCAAATATTCTCTGAATTTTTCAGTCATAGCCCATTTCAAGGCTAGGAATTCAAGTTTCATGGAGCTGTAATTGGACATGTTACGTTCCGTGGGCTTTAGCCCTCGACTAGCATAAGCTATAGGACGCACCTTGCCATCAGCTTGCTGTTGTGAAAGCACTGCCCCCAGACCCCAGTGGCTGGCATCAACCTCCAAGATAAAAGGTTGTGAAAAATTAGCATAAGCCAATACGGGGGAATGCACCAACCGAGCTTTCAACTCTTGAAAGCTATTTTCACACTGCTCGGTCCAAACTTCCTGCAATGCACGCTTTGAGGGGCGTTTGTGCTTAGTCCCAGCCAGTTCGGCCACCAGCTGGTGGAGCGGAGCAGCTAGGGATGCAAAACCTGGAACAAAGCGGCGATAGTAACTAGCAAACCCTAAGAATGATCTCAATTCAGCAACAGAGCTAGGAGTTTGCCAATTAGACAC